TATTACACTAAAAAAATTTTATAGGAAAAAATAATTTTTAAATTCTGTAATCTAAAAGGTTTTTATTCAAAAATTAACTTTCAGATGGTATAATATAGAAATATAAAAGTTTCAAGATTACAAAAGTTAAAAGTAACTTTTATTATACAATTTAAAAGTAAAGGAAATTAAATTACACATGTTGGAAATAAAAATAATTTTAAAATTGTATAATTCAAAATATTTGTATTTATTAAAAAAATACTTTGAAATTATATAATTTAAAAATAAAATAAAAAATTTCTTATTTATGAAATGCACAAAGAAAATATGGAGACGAAAAAAGTTTCATGCATGGTTCAGAAGAATATATCTATTGAAAGAAACCCATATAGCCTTCTTATAAGAACTATTTTGGCTCATATCACAATACAGACTCATTTTCAAAAGGTCATCATATTTTACTCCATAGGAAAACAAAAACTAAAAACAGAATAAATGATATTTTAATGACTATTTATTTGTCTTTTTAGTATATACATTTAGCGTATTTTGTTCATCCAATGATACAAAAAATATTATTTTATTTTTTTCTTTAAAAAAAATAAAAATATATTATTATCTCCAACAATATTTTGAATAATTGATTTTAATATTTTATGTATCGTTACTCTTTATATTCCTGAAACCTAATTTAATTTTAGTGTCTTATTAAGAAAGAAAGGCACACGTTTTTGTTAGATTATAGAGATTAAAAACGCATACATTTTTAGAAAGACTAAAATCAATATTTTTAATTAATTTAAAATAAAAACATATTTTATTCTTTTTGAAATCCCACACTGTAAATTTTATTACATATTTTTTCCTTAAAAAATATATAATAATGGTGAAGATGCCATAATATTGAATTCTTGACATTAAATATCTCAGCTTTCAAATAATCACTCTTAAAAGTGAGTAACTTTCTTTATCTACTCGAACACCAAAATCTTTCTTCATATGCTTTTTTGGTTCAGTGTGCCAAATGACTTTGGGAGAAGACTTTTTATTTAGCTATGTTCAATGGGTCACATGACTTTGTCTACATCAGCCATCTCATATTCTTCAACTTTTCCCTCTTTTCATTTTAGTATAAAATCATTAATTCATTTATTTTACAATAAAAACATCTCATTTCGTTCTTAATTTCTTAAGATACATATAAATTTAAAAAAAGGTTTTTTATATTTTTAAATTTGATATAATTTGAAAGACTTGCATGTATTTATGAAATCTACAGCTGTTTCATTATCTGTTGAACAAATTCGGAAAAAATAAAAGAAAAACAATATACTATTTTTGTAATTATTAATCATAATAGAAAACAAAACTATATACTTTTTCTTTTCGAAATCAATCATGCCCAAAAAAGGTAATTTGGGCATGGGACATCAAATTTTGAGTCTAGTATCAAATGAAAATATATTCTCCAAGCAGAATAACTTTTTTTTACATTCACAAGAATTATTTTCCTATTGATTTTCCTGTATATTTATCAAAATTCAACAAAATATATTTACAAGAAAATTTTCACAAAATATAAACAATTTTAGTATCTCTTTTTCTCTCATCCTATATATGTATAACACATATACCATACCTTGACTTTAGATTTCAAAGCCAAAGCTGTAAAACAAAGAACAACCCAATAATTTTTTTTAATCTTCATACAAATAGAGCAACGTATGTGTTTATGTTCATATAGAAGGTACATTTCACATAACTTACTTTCCTTATAGTAAAACACAATAGTCTCTTCTCTATGCATTGAAATGTGTATAACTATAAACACAGTTGATTTGATCAATTTCAACTTAAGCTTATTCTACTATATGATAATTGCTTTTATTATTAATCATCCTTAACCCATCAAAACTTTGTTAGAAAGAACAGTATATAAGTATATATGTAAGTATAGAATCATATAACATCTTTGTTTGGCCCTTTTCCTTTTTGAGCTAGAAAAGTAGTAGGAGGACTAGGAAGAACTCTTAGTCAGGCTCACTTCATTAGAGGACCATAGTAAGTTGGTAAGGTGGATCATGTCTCAGTATATAATTCAAGCTTTCATTTATTTCCTTTTACTTTTGGTCTGCCAAAAGAAACAAGGAATATGTTTGCCATGGCTTTATAATTGCAAAGAATATAACTTCCACATCTTCACATTTTCATGACCAAATACACAAAAGAGGGTAAAATAGATTTTCACAGTCCCATTTCCTACAAGGTCCTGTTAATTTTTGTTTTTCATAGGTAAATGAGATTGAGACACATCAAAAGTGTATCTGAATCCCCTGCTATTCATTTAAATTGCATTGTGATGTTGATGTTGCAGCATTACACTATACAAGTCACTGTACTTAAGGGACAACTGTGAGGTTGAATATTGAGTTGTGCACCACATAAAAACTTTGCAATAATTAAAACCCTCTTCACATTTGTTAGTTACAGTTCCAATCATGCAAATGACAACCCCAATTGCTATGAGCCCTACTAACTTCCCACCCTTAAATTCTACTGTGCCCAGAATCTGTCTCCTCTCTCTAGCTGAATCTCTTAGCAAAATTTGTCATTAGGTATAATCAATTTTAGGTATTATTAGGGAAGCTTCTATCTTTAGCTGATTAGATTGAGAAAGGTCTTTATCTTAGTTTGTGACAAAAAGGTAACGATGTTAAGTGTTTGAAAGGGGAGAGAATATATGCATTTTTATTTATAAGTTATGTATATGAAGTAGAGTGAAGTTGACAATTGGTGATTTGGTGGTATGATGAAGACTGGGTGATTGAACATTGTGGAGTGAATGCTGGGCAAAAGAAGAAAGCATGAGGAGGAATTAAGAGGAGAATATAAATGCATGCAAGGTGTTTGTGATAAAACCTTGTGTATGAGAAAGAAAAGAAGAGATGATATTGGAAGGGTTAAAAATGAAGATTGATTGGTGGGAGTTGGTTGATGAAGGCAGGTTGGGGGGTCATGTATAAATAATGTGAAAGTTCTTCTCAAAATCCCTTGAGTATAAAAGAGAGTAGATGGAAATCCAGCTCATAGTTCTTCAACACTGATATGACCCCACGTGGAGAGGACTGCCAGTTCACGGACTCGTTTGTTTTGCAGGGTTTTTTTAACATATAAACCACAGGGTCCTTATAGCTGTCTCCTCGTCCCTAACGCTGGCAACAAGCAAGATAATGACTCCTTCTGCCTCTTTCTTTCTCTATGTGTGTGTATGTGTTTGTTACTCTGTTGTTTGTGGGGGTGCTGCGTGTCTTCCTAGTTGTCTTCCTTCACTGCAATAAAAACATTATACCTGATCATTTTGGATGAACTAGAGTATCTTAAACACTAGATCAACACTCAAAACTTAAATCTTTATGTATAATTCAACCTTAACCAATTTCTAACACACCTTCACGTTCCTGATTGAATGAAGTGTGCAATATCAGATATCTGCAGAAGAGATCAGTAGTTAGTTAATAGTTTCATTCACATAGATTGTGACATATACTATTTAAAAGATGAAATTCAATTCCACAATATTTTGATGTAAGGTCCAACTAGACTTTGGAAGTGGGAGGAGGGATATTTATATAAAATATAAGGTAAAAGAAATTCATAGTTGAATTGAATAAAGTAGTTAATTTGGTGGCAGGAGGTGTGACTTTGAGGATGGTGGGTTGTGGACAAGATAATGGTCTACCATTAGCTATAAAATAAGAGGAATATTAGCTTGGTGTTAACAACTGCTAATGATGATTGATGAAGGAATGAAACGATTGTGATGGATCTACATTATAGCTCTTAACAGTCTTTATTTTGTTTTCATTGTAGCCGGAAAATAGCTTCCAATCCAGCAATAATCACCAACCTTCAACCGAAAATGAAAAAGAACAGATAAATGAATTAATAAAGAACAAAAGTATATCCTTTCTTTCAAACCTAACTGTAACTGTTCCCTTTCATTCTGGTTGATTTGCTGGTAATAGCTTATGATTAGCAGATTTGGGGTCATGTGGGATATAGTTTGGTCCCAACATAAAGAAAAAAAGGTGTAAACATGATTGGTCCAGTTAATTACCCGAGCACATGATCTATGATCAAATATAATTAACCAACAAAAGTTAAGTCAAATTGATATTGAAATTATTGTTTTTGCTTTGTACATCAATGTCTATATCTATATCTCATATGCGCATAACTTTTGCTGCAACAAACATTTTGGAAAAAGGAAGCGGACTGAGTAAAAATTTGATCTGCTTCATTCCATGTCTGTAGACCAAAGCTGCCAACGACAGCACGCACACCCTCTTGCTTATTATATACATCACAGAACTTCTTCTTTTCATGTAAAAAGAACCATCTGATCATGATCAGAGGGTCCATATCTTTTGTTGTTGGAAAACTAACATTTTAACGAGTACCCTTTTGTTTTTTTGTTTTTTTCCTCACAATTATTCTTTGTATAATCAATATCATATACAAAAAAGATGTGTTGAAAATTTGGTAAGTGAATACTTCTCCTAATAAACATTCAAACTGGCATTATTGCAACTAATCCTTCCTACCCTTTTGCTTATAAGCAGGGATAAACATTTATTTTATAAAGAAGAGAATATGAGATCCATGTTTGAAAGCGAAGATAGGCTAGGGTGGTGTGTAATGTATTGGGAAAAAGAATGAGCAATGAGGGGAGAAGAAGAGAAGGACAAGGAAATAAGAGTTGTTTAAGTCAAAATGGAAAATTGATTGGATGGTGGGAGAGTATATTAATGCAGAGACAGAGGGGAAACACTTCAAGTGAGATAGTAACGCAGCTGTCACTTGTGATATACTACAAAGCCCACACCATCTCTTCCTTCTCTCTTTGGCCAGCAAATTAGAGTTTGCAGCTGTCAGATCTCTTTCTCTCTCCTCCACCACCACCCTTTTTCTAACGCCCTTTTCCTTTTCCCTTAAAACAATAAATCATATATATTTTTATAAAACAACTCCCTTTTTTTTAATTATTTTTTCCTTTTCGTATATTTTTGTTTTAATTAACTAACTCCTCTGTCACAAACAACCATCAAATAATAACGATACCACACCATCATAAACCATACCCACCACCCCTTTCCCTCAGCCTCTCTTCAAATTCAATGATTCTTGTGTCGTGAAGGGGCGTTGTTGAATGGTGAAGTAGGACAAATACAAGACCACACACAGAGAAAGATAGAGATAGAGATAGAGAGAGAGAGAGAGCAGAAAACCAGAAGAGAAAATGGCAGTGACAAGTCAATAAGTAGAGATCAGAAGAAACAAGACACCCTTTTGAGCTTAACTAGCTTTCATGCATAAACAAGGACACCTTTTTCTTCCCTTGACACCATGGCTTACCCACATTACCGATCACAGTTCGGAGACACAACGTTCACCAAGGTCTTCGTTGGAGGCCTAGCTTGGGAGACTCCAACCGAAGAAATGCGCAAATATTTTGAGCAGTTTGGTGAGATTCTTGAAGCTGTCATTATCACTGATAAGAACACAGGAAAATCTAAAGGCTACGGATTCGTATGTTTCTCTCTTTCTCTCTCTCTCTCTCTCTCTCTCTCTCTCTCTATCTTTCTAACTCTTTACTCTGCCTCAAACTTGATTCTCTTTCACTGCAACATGTGTGTTGTTTGATTTGATCCTCATTACACACAAAAACATGTCCCATATAACAGGTAACATTCCGTGATCCAGAATCAGCTAGAAGGGCATGTGCTGATCCAAACCCAGTGATAGATGGAAGAAGAGCAAATTGTAACATTGCTTCTCTCGGAAGACCTAGACCATCACCACCAAGAGGTTAATTATTTTATATGCATTTTCATTCTTCCAATGTTATGAACATCATCATCATTATCACAATATCACATATTACTATTATACATAGGATAATATACATACACACACGCATATACATATAAATATGACAATGTTTTTCCTTGATCAAATTTGTGGTTGTGTTGTGGGGGTGGTAATGCAGGAAGAGGTACATTCCAAGGAGGAGCACCGGGAACAGCTTCATACAGTGGTGTGCCGGCGGCAGGAGGACCGGCACTAGCACCGCCGCCGCCGCCACCACCACCACCGCTGGTGTACCCGCCATATGGGTTAGTGAGTTAGCTTTGTACATTTACTGTGGGCATTTATTATTACCCATGTCTGTCACTCACAGTCAAAGAAACTGGTCCATTGCATTAATTGAGAACTGCATATAGACGCACACATTGCTGTCTACATATGTCGCTTGACTGCTCCCCCCCCAATTACAGTAGGTCTTGGTGACAGCGTGAAAATCCTCACGTATCATATCACCATTAAAAGTACACACAAGGCCAAACTTTCAACAACCATCATGTGCATTTCCTCCCCCTACTTTGCTTCCTCTTCTTTTTTTTAACTACCACCACATTCAAAATCTCAATCAATTCAATTTCATTCCCTCCAATCTCATCACTTGATCAACTACTACATCAACTGTCAAAATAATAATAAGAAATTACATTTATTACGTCAAAAAAACATTATTGAAAGAAAGGATACACTAAAAGTGACCGGTCGGATTATTGCATATCTTGTGTTTCTGATAGGGATTACTCATTGGCAAAACATGTTTTAAAATAAAGACCAATATGACTCATTTTATGTTATAGTTTAAGCTTTTCTATGTATGTTGAAACTTGAAGGAAGAAAAAAAAACTACATTTTTCGCACTACAACCTGACATAGGGGTAAAATAGAGATGTGGGGGGGTTAGGTTTTCGTGTCTTTTAAAGAGGAGTGTTGCGATTCAGAGACAATATTGTTGAGTTATTAAAATGTCATAAATTAAAGAAGGCCTAAGAAGATAGGGTGCTTGTAGATTTTACCTATCGATGAGAAACATTACTTTGTAACTTATGTGATTGATGATGCTTCTATGGTAATAGTAGAAATGTGGATGACAACAGGTACAGATCAATGGATATTTAATCCGTGGCAATGCATGTACATTTTTTTTTATGTGTTTTATATAGTGGTCCTGCGTCAATAAATTTGTTTTATAATCTTGTACATAATAAAATCCCTCAGCTCTCGGTACTTTTGCATGTCCTGTACCATCAAGTCATTTTCTCACCAGCAATGTTATTGTTGTCTTATGGTGTATTAGTTGGTAAATTAAAAAGTACTCTTAAAAAACCATGAACGGATAAACAAAAACAGAAGGGAAATTACTCTTTTGTTAACTTCTTTCATTTTCTGAGGATTGTACGAGTAGAACACACAGTATACAAACTTAAGTTTTTGGATGCAACGTAACCGCAGAAAGCCAGAACAAAGAAATGTTGAAGATGAACAGTGTTACTTTATTTATTTCTATTTACAACTTTTCTTCTTTGTTCTTTCTCTCAGGTGTTTCAAACCTCTTTTTCTTCAATAGTAAAAAAAAAAAAAAGTAACGTGTTTTTTTTCGTAGTTAATTAGGTTTATTTGAAGGTGATAGATTAACATTAGCCGAATCTTTTCTCTTCTATGTTTCTACAGTGTAGGTAGGGTATTGAATTTTACTGTCTCTTCTTAATCGTAAAGCTGAAGATACTATACTGCAAAATAAAATAATAAGATTTTGAGCGGGTGGTTCAACTTTTTGAATCAGCTAGAAACTTCTACCAAATAATAGTTGATAATTCTTTATACGTTCTATCAGAAATTTCCTTCCTTAAACTCTACTCTGTCAGTTCCAACGAGGCAGCATAGTTTATACTTTTATGTGCATGCAAAATTTCATATCATTGGATGCCACCTTGACCATTCTTTATATATATTGCTTTATTCCTTCCTTTTTCTGCTTGATGGGGCAACTACATGTTCATAATTCCTGAGCCACAAAAAAGACTCTCATCACTGAATGAGTCATAACTAATTCAATCTCAAGGACCATGCATATCATATCATACCATACCATGCCATACATACCAAACGCAATAGCACTAACTCTCATTACACATTGATGAATTAAGGGGTCCCACATGACAAGTAATATTAATGGTTTTTTTTCCTCACTGGTTTTGCTGGGAAAACCTAACATGTTAAGTTCAGTGTCAGTCCACAACAATAGGAGTGTTCCATTTTGAGCATTGCTTCTCAAAGAAACAAATGCACCTCTGCATTAACGTATTTCCTTCCATATTTGCTGGGTGATTAAATTGCTTTCAAATCTCTTTGCAGCTACCCTACCTACACCCCTGATTATGGGTACCATCAAGTAAGCATCTTTTCTCCCTCCAATCAATTAAGAACATGTAGTTTATTTTTTAATGATGTCAGGTTGGTTGCAAATAATGGAGAACAGTTGTGTAACATTTGCTTAGTTAATGATTGTGCACATTTGTGTGAGCACAGGCCACAATGTATAACCCACAAATTCAGCAACCACAATACTACCAACAACTCTATGGACCATCCTCCTCCACCATGGGTTCCCCATATTACTATGGCTATTCTGTGCAAGCACCAAGAAGTACCTTTTCCACACCCCAACCACATCGCATACCAGCTGGACCCTCTTATCTATACTACCCTACACCAATGGAACCCTCATTTTCTGCATATCGTCCACCACCTCAGTTGCAACAACTTCCAAAAAGGCAACCCCCTCCTTCCCCTACTGGTACTATTCCTTTTCTCTTCTCTAATAAACTAATTTCATTCAAACTTTTAAATAATGCATTTACTGATATAGAAAAAAAAACTGCATTGTCGATGCATGTATTCTTGATTCTAAATTTGGTTAGGCTTCTGATATTGGACACCCTTAACTTCCATTTTATATGTATGTGACTTAAATGTATGCATACACACATGGCCACAGAGGAGAGTGGAGTGAAAGAGAGAGGTGCACAGAGATTTATGAATTATGATGCACTTACTGACACACAATATATATTATGATTTGGCTGTAACATGTGGCCATAGGGGTCCACATGGGCAACCCCAGCCCCATGTGAATGAGCTGTCTCGGTTGTGCCATGAACCGTATAATGTATGGGTCAATGTGGAAGAAAGTCATGACAGAGGGAGAGGGTCATCATGTAAAGTAACAGTGAATGCATGTGGTTTCAATAGGAAAAAAAATATATTGTGGTGGTTAAATTCTTTAAAGAACCAGTCAAATGATCTTGCTTCCATGCATTGGCCCACACTGCATGTTTGACACATACTACCACTGCTGTAAGTTTTTAATATTAAACAAATCTGTGCAGTAACCGAATCAAGTTAACTTTTTTTCTTGTTCCAGATCACCTGCAAACTCTTTTCAATGTGTTTTCTGCATTCTTTAAAAAAATGGACGTGTTTTTTAATCTAATTATTCATAAAAGTTACAACATAGATGAAAAGAGCTTACAACTTGTACTTTATTACCGTATGACACTTATATTAATCTGTGTTTTATCAAACAACTACTGAACATGAACTCTGTACTATCTGAGTGTTTTATAGTTTAGATACCAGATTTCTTTTGAATTTTCTTATTCACTTCTTCCAACAAGCACAGACTAATATGTATGTATATATTATTGTATATAGAGTTGTAATCAGTAGCCTAATCCATGGAGATTATTAATTAATTATTGAATGATGAAGAGAAGGTGACAATTGTTTATTATGGTTGGTTATTGTGATCAGACTCACAGACTCAGCAACGTACCACGTCCGAGGCAGCAGGTGGAGTAGTTATAACTTCAGAAAGTTCAAATAGCCAAGGGAGGAACTGATAAATATATATAGCTGCTAAGTTTCAACTGTATAATCTTCAAATTAAATTTTATCACATTAATTCTTGATCTTTTTCCACATGATCATATCTTCATTTTTTTGGTCCACATGCTGTAGCTTTTAGGAAATAATGGTTCGAATCAGAT